TTGGTGACTGATATCTATAGAGCACTACATGTAACCTTTGAAAACTCTTTTTCACAAAGCTCCACATATTTAGGATATACGATATTTGCATGAAAAGAAGTGTTGAGGTTTTTGTAGCTGTTAATTTTAACGAAGAAATGTTTTCCACGCTTACATGAGTAAACTTTGTGCTTCTCCATTAGAATCTGCATTCAGTAGTTTTGTGCAGTCTTTTTTTTTTCTCTAAAATACACTTTAATTTTGCTAACTCCTTATGGTTGGTTTGTTGCTGTCCTCTTCATATGGTAGATACTCAAAATATTGAAACATCAAAGCATTAGAGGCCTAAGCATTGTCGCCTTTGAACTTGAAGTAATTGGATATACAATTGCCTTGGCATACTGTCTTCATAAAGGGCTTCCATTTTCAGCCTATGGAGAGTTGGCATTTCTTTTAGTGCAAGGTACAGATGCAGTTGCTGTACATCTTTTTTTGACAACCCTCATGGTAATTTTGGAAAGTCAAATTTGGTTTTTTCAGGATTGGTTTTTTAAGACAGAACTCACTATACAATATTTCTTTGTTGTGCACTTTGTTTGTGGAAGTTAATCTTCATGGTGCTTGCTTGGAATTAAATGATGAGATAAGTGGCTCTAACCCTTTCACTTTCCCTGTTGCAGCTATAATATTGGTTGCCATCATCTATTACTTCTCTCAACCTCTAGGAATGAAGACATGGATCAGGGCATTACTGTATCCTACATGTTTCTCAAAAAATAGTGCTCCCTTTACTATTGCAGTTTAGACTAATTGATGACTTGTTTATGAGATATTGCTTCCTTTACTATGTTCATCACAGATATTGTGCTATAGCGCCAACTATTTTAGCTGGTCGGGTTGACCCCATTCTCTTCGAGGCGTTATATGTCAGTAGAATGATTTAATGTTTTATATCCCAAAAGTTTGGCTTATGCTTCTGACGGCTAACTATTCTTGTGCTCTTATAGTTGCTAAGTTTAAATTTGGAGTTTTATGCCTTTTTGAAGCTTGTATTTGCATTTGTTTGTGTCAGGCATCCCAGCATGCAATATTCTTCTTTGCCAGGGTCCCACAGATAGTTGAGAATTGTAAGGTGAAAACTCGAGTTCTGCTTTCCTTACTCCTCTTCCACCATTGTCTCATTTTCCATTTCTAATCTGGAAATGAGATTGTGTGCTTTTTTTTTTGGGCAAAACAGTACGATTAGTTGGTTTGTGATGCAAACTAGAATGCTATTATTGGTCAAAATCTTATATTTTCTCATGTCTGGGGAAGGGGTCTTTGGTTGGTTCCAGCGTCTTTATATGTTGAATGTGGAGAGAAGGGTTCATAGGGAATGGTTGACAGGAGGTTTCTCTATCTCCCGGTCTTCTCTCCATGATTTGGGAGTCTTGAAATGTCAACAAAGATTAGCAAAATTCCAATATTGCCGTTTGTGATGTTGCTCAACCTTTAGTTTTTCATGAATTGGTTTCTCTGTGCCTTGGCTTCGTTGTAGTTCATATGCTGCTCATTGATATGTCCACACAATCACCCAATTTTGGTCATTGAAATGGTTAGATCTCTGAGAAATGAATTCCCTGATTCAAGGAACTCTAAAATGACTATTCTGATGCAAAACTACATTTGGATGAATAGATTCTTGGCCTGGATTTGGGATCTCCTACTGTTTCATTGATATTTTGATGACTTGTCAAATCTGGCAGGACATGATTTCCACTATATCATGCGGACAATAGCGTTTAGTAAAAGGGGAGCTCAAGTTTTCCTAGGAGCAAAAACATTGTGAATAAGTAGTTTTTAGTGCAAAGTTTCTGTATGCAATGTCCATTTATATTGTAAATGCAACTCATAACTATCATTCTTGGAAGTTAATCTTTTTTTGTGTGTAAATGGAGGTGCATATGTTGTAAGGAGAATCTGTGATAAAAATATAGATTTTCAAAGGCATCTCCAACAAGAACATAACAACCGAGGCCATAATTTTATGGAGTTAGCCATAGTATGCTGTTGTTTTTGCTGGCTAGGTGTTCTTCTTGTCTATAGTACAATTCTATGCTCTATGCAAGGGGCTGACACTAATTCTTCACTTAAGTTTGCTATTGTTAGTCCTAGCAGGTCTATCAACCATTTGTAATTTCAGTATTTCTACATGAAGATATTCTTAGGTTACTAAATGTTAATTGTTATTGCAGAACGGCAGTACTGGTGAACTTAGCTTTTTGACTTCTTTGATGAATTTTGCAGGTTCCATGGGTAAGCTTATGTTGTTTGCCATCATACTGTTGTGTACTTCCTCCTCTTCAGCATGGAGTTCCTAACTATTTTTTTTTTCCAATATTGGCAGTTAGGGTTTTTACCAGCCTCCAGGAGAAAGCTCCAACAAGTGGTATCCTTGGTCCATATTTGTCTGATCCGTTTGTTAAATTGCTATTGAGAGAGTCATTTTCATTTGCATGCAAACTTCCTGTGCAGTGTGTCTGTCTTGTTGCAAGCAATATGTCTATTTCACATCCTGACGTATGATACGATTATTAAACTACTGCATACTGGTGTTTGGATGGAAATTTGATCTCCTCCACCAATAAAAGATGATTAGTACTAATATGCAAATAGTAGTATTTGGTTTCTAGAGGGGATATAATTTTCTCTCAGTTGAAGTGATGATAATTTTGAAGTCCATTTGGAATTATCGACTTTGTCGTTGCATAATAAATGGAGTTCAATGGCAGTTGATGAGCACACTTGTATTCTGGATTTACTTTAGCCTTTCCATCACAAGTTAATCATTTGGCCAATGGAAATGATACCTTCTTGTGCTTCATTTGAACATGACTTTATTTACTCCTGATATGCCTGCTTGAATTACTGGTGTCTCTTGACTATTGCCGCTTTCATTACCGTTCTACTCTCCTGTCATCTTCTTAATTTGCTTTTGCTGACCGTTCGTTTCACTTGTGGTGATTTCCTTAATTTCTCGAAGTTGTTCTGGGTTCTGCTATCGGTGTGGTGACAAATGGTACCATCCTGAGTCAGATAATAATATATCAGAAGCCACAGCCGAAGAAAGAGAAGAAAACGGATTAGAAGATTTGGCTCTTCCGGACTCCAAGCATCATTGCCTTTAATTATTTATTCAGCAACTGACAGAATCGATAATGTTTTCTTTTATCAATTCGAGACTTCGGGTATCTTAGCTACCATTTGGTGGTGGGTTCAGAAGAAAGTTTCCTTTCACGGACAACGACGTGATACATTCAGATTTTTATGGCTCTTCCACCCATTTGATATTTGTTTTTGTATCCAAAACACCTACGTTCGGTGTTGAGAATTTCCTGCTAAATTTATACATTTTGTGCACGAAAGACAACTACGTTGGTTCAACCGTAAAACTTGGATATAGGATGTATGGTTATAAAAAATAGAAACCCTTTCCAGTGGTAATAAATACTGAGCATGCACTTAACTTCATCTCCTGAGTACGTTTAGATGCATTATTAATATTAGTAAGTATTGCCAAATGCCAACAAAAGATTGAAAAAAAAAAAAGTAAGTAAGATAATTAAGCCCTGCAGAGGAAAGACGTGCTTGACAAATTCAATGCTACATTTCAGTTCTCAAGCCCCCATTGGGCAGCGAGCGATCAAGTGTGAAGAAACTTCATTCATAAGATTATTCCAGCAGTGCCTGTCAACATCCCTTTACATATTTCTCTTGATTTGCAAACTCTTTAATAAAATTATAAATCTGCGTCGTCCAAATATTCACTTACCAAAGACTCTTAATTGTTTTCCCAAGCTCTGAGGATGAGCAAATAGAGAGGAATTTTAAAAAGAATAAGCCCAACTGAAGGTCAATTCTAAATGCTATGAGAGGTAAAGAAAGTAGTCTTTTGAAGCAGCTTGAGCCTTTTGAAGCCTACGATTCTCAAGATACCTGCACATAAGAGTCGGTGGAGTACCTTGAATCGACGACGCCACCATTGACTTAAAAAACGTCCATCCTATACGAAAAAAGTCGGAAGACAGTTCTGTTTACCTTCCAACTTATACGAACAACTGAACAACCCATTCTTAAGGAGAACTAGCGCAACACTCAAAAGGAGACCCAAAAAATATTGGTCTTAACTCTCAACTGGAGCAGGAGCTATTTAAGACACTTAAAAACACTTCATCTCCGGCTGCAAAATGAAAATTTCTAGAAAAATATGCTAGCCAATCTCCATCCTATCAGCTTAGGTAATTTCATTGCTGAAAAAGAAAACTAATTTCATTGCCAGGAGGATGAAGGTATTTAAGGAATGTCCTCGCAAATAAGTAGGCACGTGAGACAAGGCAATTCCTAGCAGGACATTCATCAGGAATATGGAAATTTCAACAATGAAGCTGGATCATCAACCAACAAAACACAACATTCAGTGTCCACCTAAACAACACGGCTAGCAGTATCTATCTAGTCATACACACAAGCAAAAAAGTAAATTGCAAACCTCAAGGATAAAAAGTTATAAACTAAAAGCATTTAAATTGAATATGTTATGCATCATATATAGCTATTGCATGTCTGCGACTCAACAAACAAATAAATTTTCTTGATTTCATTAACGACAAAAATAGAGAATACTAAGTACCTTGCTGACTAACCACATCAAAATCGACAATTATTCAATGAACAGATAAGTTAACTCATATAAGCACATACTAGTTAAATCAATGAAATGAATATAATCGACATAGAGGAATAAAATTGTTCATTTAGGTAGTTACCAGTTTAAGAATATTGGATGCAAACAAAAGGAACGCCTAGAACATGATAACCTATAATGCAGCATGAATGGCCTGCGTAACTTTGATCGATACACAAGAAAGTGCACATCATATGGTATCCGCAATAATGGCACTCACGAATTACTGACTGAGAAACCTATCACAACCAAAATATGCAAATCTGTTTAACTATAACTACCATCCACAAGGAGTAAAGGGCAGGAACGCTAGGAATGATATACTTGACAAGTATAATAAGGTATAACCATAAGGAAAACATTAAAGACTCCCATAAGGCCCAATAAGGAGATTAACAATCTCAAAAGGCATTAAAACCACACACGAAACTGCAGTCCAATGACAAAGGAGCCAATAAATACAGCACAAAACAATGTAAACAGGCCAAGAGTGTTCCTTTTTTCCCACTCCAATGCCTGGTTTAAGTCATTCTCTAAGTATTTCGTGAACTACCACCAAAGCTCGACCACCTTCTGAAAGTGCAAGATACTAATCTCCTCCCTGTCAATAGTCCCAATCTCGCCTTAAAAGATGTTGACCTCCCAGTGCTGCTTGAAGCAATATTAGCTCGACCACCTTGGCCACCCACCTGATGATTCTCAGCACCACCACCTTCCTGAGCCCCACTATCACTAGCACTTGCATCCATGTTTTCTGGTTCAGTGGCATCCAAATTCACTGCTAGTGATCCCCTACTGGCCCTCAACCAATCTGCACCTTCAGAAGTGACAGCCCTACACTTCTTAACCTTAACCTTAACCAAGTTGGGACATCCACCTGCTAACGCTTCCATACCGTGATCTGACACAGGACAACTCTTTATACAAAGCTTCTTCAACGCAATACATTTCTGGGCAATGCACGAAAGCTCAGCATCACCAACAGTCTCACTCCCACACAAGGCTAATCTCTCCAAATTCAGACAACCAGTAGCCAATTTCTCTAAACTCATTCGAGTAGGATTGACACCAATCAGCACCAACTCTTGCACATTTGGACAGTTCTTTGCCACAGCAATCAACCCATCATCGCTTATCCTATTTGTTTTCCATCCATCAATGTGAAGTTTCCTTAAAAGCTTACAATGCTCAGCTACAGTCTTTAAACCCTCATTAGTACACTCGGGAGTTTTAACCAAATGCAATATTTCAAGATTCAAACAATTTGAGATCGCCATCAACCCCACATCACTCACTTGAAGCCTCTCAAGATGCACCTCGACTAACCCATCTACTCGATCGGCTATAACCTCCAGCAGCTTATCCCAATCACCTGAGCATCTAAACAGTTTAAGGGTCCTCAAATTCTTCGCCCCAATAATCATCGGCCCAAAACACTGCCCATTATAGAGTTCTTTTAAACAAATAACCTTTAGTGAGGCCGCGGCCACCCCGGGACCAATCGGCTCGGCGGCAGCCCCGTCGGTGATGCCACGTAGGCGTTTTACTGACAATTCTTCGAGACCAGCGCAATTATTTAAAACAGCATTCATTCCTTTAGCACCAAAGTGACAAGACCCACAGGAAAGTTTCTTCAAATTCTTACAATTTTTTGTGAATTCGGCGATTCCGGCATCTGAGAGTTCCCGGCAAGCCCGTAGCTTCAAGCGCGTGAGCTTCCTGCATTTGAGAGAGATCAAAACCAGCGCGTCATCACCAATACTAGCAGATCTGCGGTCGCATTTGAGGGCGAGCTTCGTCACCGCATCGAAGCGCGTGAAGATCGAGGGTATAAACGTTAACAGCTCCGCTTGGGCGTTTAGCGACAACCGGTGACGGCTCTGTCCCTCAACTAACAACCACCGGCGGCACACTAATGAGCAGCGTTTCCGGTCGCCGGAGCTCAAGGACTGGAAAATGTAAGCCAGGCACTCGTCGGGGAGGTTAGAAATATAATCGGCGAGTCCTTCACCGGTGAAGACGTCAGCAGGGTCCGCGTCGGGGTCATTTTCGATGTAGTTGTGAATTTTCATGCCGGTCGAGATCACGGCAGCCGTGGATCTGGGCTTGCTGGGCCGATGGTGATGATGAAGGGCTTGAGCTCCGGCGATGGAAGAAGCTGACTGGCCCATAAATCCACGGCGGCAGCTGGAGGAGGAGGAGAAGGAGAGCTGGGACCCCCGTCAGAGCTGAAAATGGGATCCGAAGCTGGAGCCTTTTTCTTTTTTCTTGTTTTCCCTGGTCAGGTGGTTTTTCCAGAAACGTATTCTGGGTTTGGAGCTGGGTGGTGGGCTTAGAGGCCAATAATGCTTTCTGGTTTGTGGGAGGACGGACTTGAAACTTTTATTTAATCCGGATTTTTATATTGGCTTATGAACAAAATAATAATAATAATGTGTAAGAGAAATAAAAAATCCAATCCAGTTACGCCGGTCTGATGAATTTTCTGGTGGAGGGAGAGGGACTTTTGACATTTTAGTAACCACGTGGTCACGTTAGTGTTTTATTTTGAAAATATTCATGAATTTTAGAAAAGACCACCTTCACAGAGTTGGCAAAGTGAAGTCCCACGGTGCTTTTACGCGCGGAGTTATTTAGAGTCCGATTGAATTGTTATTTTTTAAAATTTTTATATAAAAATATATTATAATGATTTGATTTATCTAAAGTAAAAAAATAATTAATAAATATGTTCAAAAAATTTTTTAGAGGAAAATGACTGTGAATTATGTTTAATAAAACATATTATTGAGTAATGTAAGAAGTTTAACTCATAAAATGTTACTACTTAAGATCGATGAGTCTTCATTTGCAATAAATAAGTAATACTTAGTTCAAATTTGAATTTCACGTGTGATATTAACTCTGTATGTTCCACGCACACACGCCAGTTTACTTAATTATAGACAGTCATTACTGTTCTAAATTTGCTTTTAATAGCCAAATGATTACTTCAGCCAAAAAAACTTTTGAAAAAAAAAACATTCAAACAGTTAGATAATTGCTCTACCGTACGACCCCTAAATTGATTGTGAGGAGCATGGTAAAGGGAAGGGAGTGCATCTACGGGAATATTTTGGGCTAAAGTAACAACTGCATATACCAAGATTTGTCTACAATGCCCATTCCTGGCATCAGAAAAGTGCCACATGAATTACGTGTGCTTTTTATCTGTTTGTCTGGCTGGAACTTCTTAAATTTGAGGCACTTTAGAAAGTTCAACTGTATCGGCTTAGCAGAATTGAAAATCACATACAATCTTATCTCTTTTGCTTAGTAATTGACAAGCGACACCATTTTGGAGCTGTCTGTTGGAATATGCAATTTCTCTGCAAATTTTTCAAGATTTTCTAACACTAGGATAAATGAAATAGTGGTTGAATAAATCTGATTATTAGGAGTTGTTCAATATTTTTAGTGTTTGGTTATTTCTAGTTTGTTAGAATTTTCAAGATTTTGTTAAAATTGTTTAGGAGATTCGTTAGCAGAAGATTGTGTTGAGTTGTTAACAAGTTTTTTTTTTTTTTTTTGTTAAGATTTGTTAGGAGATATCTGTGATTAATTTGTTATAGTACCTATATAAAAGACGAAATTGATGAATGAAAAGTAAGCTTTTCTTTTTTTTTTCTATGTCTAATACTAAATAATGCATTGCTTCTTAATTTATGTCCTAAAAATCAACAGGAGCACAATGTTGAAAGCTCTTTGGAGCTAGGGACGTTTTGGTTGAAAACTATAATGTTAATTTTTGTGGTGTTTTATTCTGACAATGGGTATAATGGCTGTTTTATTCGGGTGCTCATTTTCGTCGTTGAAAAGTAAAGGTGGTGCCTATCTTGACCATATCAAAATTAAGAAATCAAGAGATGGCAAATAGATAGAAAGAAAAAAGAGTTAAAAAATAAAAAAAAAATAGTCTCAAGTCTCAACCACTAAAGAAAGGAATTAGCAAATGCTTAAGCAGCATCTTTTTCGGCTGGACCAGTCCTACAATCCACCTTCTGCTCTTAATTATTAATTACTTTAAATTATCCACACAAATATGTCATTGCGATTTGGAGTTGATACCTTTCAAATAAATAATTATTCTAACTTTTATTATAGTGACTGATTTCTGCACGAAGCTAACAATGGTGTAGGGTGTTATATCATATATATATATATATCATGGTGTTGTCGAATTCGGCAGGGCAGAAAATGAATGAACATTTGTCACATGAACGCTCACCATTAAAGGACACTAATTTTACCTTAGAGAGTATCGATCGATTTTGCACTTTTAATACTAAATTCTTAACTTTTGCTGCCAGTCTCTTGATTTCCGTACTAATCTGCAATGGCGAAAAAACACCCTTTTGGGCGTACTAGGAGAGAAGGGAATAACTCATGAGAGAGAGCAGGGAATAACTTTTGAAGAAACAATAGAGAGAAGCATTCCTTCATTGTGATTTTGACCAATACTACAAATATTTGTACTACTACTATTCATGCCCTGGCATACACTTTCTTTCTGATCAGCGGATATAGAAAGTGTGCAGCGGACTCATTAACCTATTTTGAATTCGACTAGTTCACAGGTCCGTTTGGATTGGTGTTTTTGCGCCTGTTTTTGAAAAATTGTTTTTCACATTTCAAATGCTACAGTAAATGTGTATTTCAAAAACAACTTCAAAAACACCATATTCAAACAATATATCAAAAACAACTCCAAATATATTTCAATTATGCATATTTAATTTGTATATTTTAATAAGTATATTTCAATTTGTATATTTTAATTATGTATTTTAATATGTATATTTTAATATATTTTAATTATATATTTTAATATGTATATTTCAATTATGTATTTTAATATGTATATTTCAATTATGTATATTATATATATATATCATATTAATATAAATATATTTATTTCAATTATGTATAATATTATATATATTATGTCAATTGAAATAAATATTATATATTTATATAAATACATTTATTTATATATAAATTTATAAATATATTTATGCAATTTTGTTTTATAATATATATTAATATGTATATTTCAATTATGTATATTATATATAAATTATATTAATATTAATGTATATTAATATACATAATATTAATGTATATTAATGTACATAATATTAATACAAGTATACATTTATATTAATTATATTAATACATTTCAACATAATATTAAAACATATTTATAATATATTAATTTATAAATTTATATAATATTCATTTATAATTTATACATTTTTAATAATATACACTTATACATTTAAATACACATTTATATTATGTATTATATATAATATAATACATTTATACATTTATATTAATATACATAATATTAATTTTACATTTATACATAACATTAATACATATATACATTTATATTAATTATATAAATACATTTCTACATAATATTAATATATATTTATAATATATTAATTTATACATTTATAATATTCATTTATACATTTATACATTTATAATAATATACACTTATAATTTATAATATATTTATAATATTCATTTATAATTTATACATTTATAATAATATACACTTATACATTTATAAATATATTTATATTATGTATTATATATAATATAATACATTTATATATTTTTATATGAATATATAAATATATTTATTTATCAATATCTATAAATGTATTATAAATTCATAAATGTATATTTATATAAAAATTATAATTTATAATTTATACATTTATATAATATTCATTTATAATTTATACATTTATAATAATATACATTTATACATTTGTAAATATAAATGTATTATAAATGCATAAATGTATATTTATATAAAAATTATAATATTCAAAAATATGTTTCAAAAATACCTCTAAAAATAATCCAAAAAAATCTACAGTAAAAGTTTTTCATATAGTTTTTGAAAAACAACCCCAAAAACAACTAATCCAAACGGACTTGTTTTTCAGATTCGAAATGCTACAGTGGTGTTTTTGAAAAATAACCCCAAAAACAGCTAATCCAAACGGAGCCACAAATATTTGTACTACTACTATTCATGCCCTGGCATACACTTTCTTTCTGATCATCAATAGAGAAAATGGATAGCAAATCAAGGATCCTTGACAGCCATGGATAGCAAAATGCACCGTTCCAAGAGAATTGGGAAATTAATCTCCAAAGTATAATGTTGATTCGATTGCTTATTTTTATATCCCCATAAAATGCCACCGCCTCTAAGTAACTTTGCTACAGCAATTATTCCTTTCATCCTCCTTACGACTCTGCAGGAACATACCCACAATCAAAATCCTGAAAATTATTATACCATACAAGGATGATAGTGGTAGAAACTCACAAGTTGCGGCAGGTAGAGCTTAAGAATCAAGGCCCGTGCCGACTGCTTGTTTTGTTTCAACTTTGGCGGCCCATTTCATCCACATTTCTACGATTTTTGGAATGAAAATCTTTGCAGCTACCGAACCGAATGCCATAGCCACCCGCTTTACAACAAGTAGAACAAGTGCTGCTTTTGGGCTTGAGGCTGCTACTGGGCTTAGGAGAGCGGCTAGGAGCGACGGTGTCTCAAAAGACCGTGGACGTGCCATAGTAAAAGCTGCGGTAGGAGTCGGAACTGGAACTGGAGATAGTGCAGCAGGAGCAGAAGCCGAAGCCGGAGATGATAGCCTCGGGCAGATGGAGAATGGCACAGGTAATTTGACAGCAATTCCAAAATTTACCGCCACGAAGCAATCGGTAAGTCCAAAATCTTCTGCCACCCCAGACCACTTTCACAGAGTTGGCCAAAGTGAAGTCCCAAAGTGCGGTGAAGATCAATTTTACGCGCAGAGTTATTTAGAGTCCGATTGAATTGCTATTTTTTAAAATTTGTATACAAAAATATATTATAACGATTTAATATATCTAAAGTAAAAAAATAATTTTTGGAGCACAATGTTGAAAGTTCTTTGGAGCTAGGGACGTTTTGGTTGAAAACTATAATGTTAATTTTTGTGGTGTTTTATTCTGACAAAGGGTATAATGGCTGTTTTATTCGGGTGCTCATTTTCGTCATTGAAAAGTAAAGGTGGTGCCTATCTTGACCATATCAAAATTAAGAAATCAAGAGATGGCAAATAGAAAGAAAGAAAGAAGAGTTAAAAAAAAAAAAAAATAGTCTCAAGTCTCAACCACTAAAGAAAGGAATTAGCAAATGCTTAAGCAGCATCTTTTTCGGCTGGACCAGTCCTACAATCCACCTTCTGCTCTTAAATAATTATTCTAAACCTTATTATAGCCACATCCTATAGGTAAAAAATCATTTTGT